CATGGGGTATCAATCCATACAAATTAACTGCAGTTCTTATTTAAAATTGTAGATGGCGACACTTGGACAAAATGAAAAATATTAAGTATTTAATCTCCAAAATTTTAGATATTTCGTATTAAATAAGAAGTACAAAATATAAAAACGAAAAGTAAAACGATTTAAACAACATTTTAGGAGCGATCAATTAAAATTTATTTACAATTTTGAAAATTGGTGAAAACAAAAGGTTGTTGAAAAGATCGAAGGTTTTTCAATAGATTACTTTTGACGTGATAGTTTGCCATAAATTGTATAGATGGCACTTTTTTGAATTTATTCAAGAACTAAGTAACGTTTAGTTTTTCACGAGATAATATTGTATCATCTTAGGATTATATATATATTCCGGATTTATAATTAATGAAATAATATAATGAATACAATTTATTTAATGACATCGTGAATTTTCATATAAATTCAACAGTTTAGTGTTAAGGAAATAAGGTAATTTATTTATTTTCTACGAATTTTGAAGGTAACATAACGCTTGATGTGTCAATGTCAAATTTTTAAACTTTCATAATCGTTTACGATTCTTTTGTGTATGGTTTGTGGAATTTTTCTTTTTTTTCGATATTGATGTGACCTTCAACGACTACTTTGAAATTGGACTTGTTTGATACTTGCACCACGCTACCCGGCTAACTCTTACTTATCTGACGTGCGTGACACGCTCAACATACGACCCTGCTTGTAAACGGACTTGGAATTTGCCTTCAGATTGGAATATCATTGGAAAATGGCCCCGTCCAAGTGTGCCTACTTTAATTGCCATAATAAAGCCAGCCAAAAGTCTATGTTTCGTTTCCCGACGAACAACTACAATCTCTTACAAATTTGGCTCGCGAATTGTGGTAAGTTTTTTTCCTTTGTTTTAAAGAAGATGTGAGATATTTAATCACTAACCAGACTAACCACGATATTCTGATGTTATTTTCTTTATTCTACATAAATCTGCTATTTGTTTTAGGTAATATGACTATTACTCATCTGAAACCAGAACAATTACGTAACAAATGCATATGTATAGACCACTTTGCTAAAGAATATGTTAAAAATGAAACTGCTCAAAGGGTAAGATTATCAAAATTAGCAATACCAATGCCGTACAAAGCCACTGAAACGAACTCTCAAGAATCACCAATACAATCAACATCTCGAGAATCACCTGAACCATCGACATCCAAAGGTACTTATCATTGACCTACCAACAAATGGACAACGGGTCTACTACACAAACCACAAAAAAATGTCCAGAATTAACCTATACATATAAGCGTAGTGATATGTAATGAAATATAAAAAAACTAAAACACTTCATTTAAATTGTAATGTCATTACAATTTAAAAAAGAATTTAAAGGCCCAAAAATTCGACCTATTCAGCTTCTACTGGAAACTTAATAACAAAATGCGCCATTTTTAGCTTCTGGTGCAAACTACTTGAACACTCTTTTCTGTCAATATTCATTATTATATACGTTAATATTATGTTGAATTTTGTACAAAATTCACTTAAACAAATAATAAAGAGTGGTGCAGATACATACAATTATTATAAATGTGAAAATAACTGTGTCTCTCTATTAGTTTTACTTGACATATTATAAGAAATATTTCAATGTTTCAAATTTTAGATTCCAACTAAACGTCAACAAAAAATTTCATAATCTCAAAAATCGATTTATAACAAAACCATTATGCTCTCAGTGAATTTTGGTTGCTTTTCACAAAGAAAAGTTTAAGTGTACATAGGTTTGTTTTGTAATATGGGCCATTCCAAAGTGACGGGTGGGACATTTTGACTCCTTTTTTCTTGAAGTTTAAGTAATTTCTCCCTAACCATTGGTTAATTAGACTTAAAATGAAAATATCATGAAGCCAGACGTGCAATTCAACTGCGACTATTTATTTACATAATTTTCTAATTGTTACGGGTGGGACACTCACAACACCCGGCTGTTTGAGTTGATGGATTCATTTTTTTATTATATGATTACTTGAATGTTAAGAATTCTATTTTATATATACACTTAATTAATAACTTTGATAAATTTTAAGGAAATTAATATGTTAAGTTGTGACGGGTGGGACGTGAGTTTGTGACGAGTGGGACGAGTTATAGTTGAGTACACAGAATTAATCAAATTACATTGCTTAATATGAGGTCCATCTTAGTAGCAAATATTTCATAATTTTTGTCTTATTAAGACATTTTAACACAAAAAAAACAATTAAAGGACTGATAAATCCTATTATTTTTCTTGAAACACTATCTATGATGACATGAATCAAAGTCACTCAGGTAAAATGCGTTAATAAATTTGAAAAATCCTGCCACATCCTTGAAGATTATGTATCATATCAATATATATCAAATTTTAGAAATTTTACTGAAATATATAGTTAAAACTAGTGGAAACAGACTTTTCATGAATTTCCTGATACTAAAAATCATCAGGAAAAATGTTGTACTTTTTAATTGTCTTTTTTTATGTGTTAAAATGTCTTAATTATAAGAATTATAAAAACATTGCTTACAAATGATGGTTCTACATATAAACAGTGTATTTTTTTAAATTCTATGTATTCAAATGTAACTTGTCTCACCTGTCACAAGATGGTGTCCCAAATGTCACAATTTAATACAACAAATGTTTAACCCTGAAATTAAAGCAACTGTTACATCTAGTAAACATAGTAAAAACTCGAATCCTTGAAAATAAAAACATTTAGTCAAAGTAAAAACGTTTAGAAGTGTGTCCCACCCATCGCTGTGCACCCGTCACGTCACTTCTAAATCTTAATTTTATATACATATAATATAATAATATAATTTAAATTCCTATTTACGTGCACAATGCCCAACCAAGCCAAAATAATGACCGTAGCATATTTGTTACTATATATGATTCATATAAAATATGAATTATTAATAGTCCTTTAATAACAAATAATTTTATATTACAGCTCAAGAATTTTCTCCAGAATTAAAGGTTAAAACACCTACAAAAGTTTACAAAAGTTTTAAATCGAAAGAAGATCAGGAAGAAGAAACTTTCGTTATAGATAATGTTAGCACACCCAAATCTAGAAAACGACAGATTGACAGAGGTGATGATGGTGATACTCCAAAGTGCAAGAAGCTAAAAAGTAGCATTAATCATGTTACTAAAACTCTAAAGAAAGAAAAAGATAAATACAATAGATTGCGCAAAAAAATGTATGGTAATAATATTGTAAATATTGATAAATTTGCATTTAAAAGTGAGACCTCAAAAGTACTAACTTTAATGCAATTAAGAAAGAAAAAGAAGGAATGGAGTGAAGATGAAAAAAAATTTTGTCTTGGACTATATTATAAATCACCAAGTGCCTACAAACACTTGCTAGAAGCTGGTGTAGTTTTGGCTGCACCCTCGACTATCCAACACTGGTTACAGGACACTAGCTGTTTTCCAGGAGTAAACAAAAGCATATTTAACAATATCGCAGATAAATTTAATGGGAAAATTATTAAAGAAAGAGCATGTACAGTTTGCTTTGATGAAATGGCAATCATGTCAAGTTTAGAGTATACAAAAAAATATGATCTAATAGAAGGCTTCGAAGACTTTGGAGAAAATGAGCGATCATGTGTTGATGCCAAATATGCACTAGTATTTATAGCTAGAGATATTTATAGCAGCTGGAAAATGCCTTTAGCATACTTTTTGGCTGGTAAAACAGTCAGTGCAGAAAAATTAGTAGATTTAGTTCGAAAAATTATAGATATTCTGTTTGAAAGTAATTTATTGCCAAAGGCGATCATATGTGACCAAGCCACCACCAATGTGAAAGCGATTAAAATGCTTGGAGTAACTATAGAAAATCCCTTCTTTTTTGTAAATGGCAGAAAAGTCTTTTCGATTTTCGACACTCCACATTTGATAAAAAACATAAGAACGAATCTTTTAAAAAATAATTTTTTAACAAATGATGGCGAAATTTCATTCAGTGATATTGTACATGTTTACAATATAGATAAAAATAATAAAAGCAGAACACTGAAGAAACTTACTCCAGTTCACCTGAATCCCAACACATTTCAAAAAATGAAGGTGAGCTTTGCTACACAAATATTTAGCTGTTCAGTTGCGGCAGCAATTAATACGGCCGTTGAAAGTGGAGAGTTGGTGAATAATACAGCAAAAAAACACTGCAAATTTCATCCAATTAGTGAATGATATGTTTGATTCTCTAAATTCAAAAAATAAATTTGACAAGAACCCATATCGATGTGGTATAACAAAAAATCTTGGTTCTAAGGTTCATGTAACCCTTTCTACAGCAAAAAGAGTTTTTGCTGAACTAAAAAAGATTTCAGTTGACAAGAATGGGGTGAAAAAATTAACAGCTCCTCCCTGTTTTGATGGCATTCAACAGACAATTAATGCAATACTTCAGCTGTCATCTGAGGAGTTTTCGGTTGGAAGCGGAGTTAAATTTATTTTGACATATAGGTTTAACCAAGATGTCATTGAAAATTTATTTGGAGTCTACAGAATGAAAGGAGGCTGTAACAAGAACCCCACTGCAAAAAATTTAAGAGCAATGTTCAGAAGCCAATTACTGAATAATTTAATAAAATTACCTAACAAAAATTGTGAGGATGATGAAGACATATTTTTAGCAGGAAAAAAAATGTGATTCACGATCCCAACAGGTAAAGGGTGAACACCCTGCAGCAAATATGAACCAAGTGGAAGAACCTCCTGCGATGCTAGAGAAGGTAAACACACAAAGTGTAAAAATAGAAAAAGACGATGTTGCTACAACAGGTACTACCCTAGAAAAATGTTCTGTTATTTATTTCGCAGGCTGGATTGGTAAAAAATGTATTGAACGATTTAATTGTGATGAATGTAAAAAAACACTTTTAAAAGATGATGTTGATTTAAATGACAAAAATCAGTTACTTTTAATTAATAAAACATATGCCAATATTGAAATACCTACATTAAAGTCTCCCACCGATTTTTTATATAAAATAGTAGATACATCCTTGACAATATTTGAAAACCAAATGGACAGTATTAGTTTCAAAGAAAAAGTCTTATACACTCTAATAAAAAAAATTGAAAAAGAAATTGATTATTCTACATTTCACCATAAAGAACATTTACAATACGTAATTGAAAAATTAATAGAAACAAAAATTTATGATTATTGTAAAAAAAGGAAGAAGTCAATGAGAGAAAAAGAAACAATGAAAATTAGAATAATGCAACATAATTGATAGCTCTGGGCGGAACCTTTTTTAAGTTTGTACCATTTCTATTGTCTTAGATAATGTTATTACATTTTGTGAATAAACCAGTTCTTTACTCATGAAAAGGTTTTTGTTTTATTTATTACATTTACAAAGATGAAATTATCACCGGTAATAACTCACCCCCATATATAAATATATATAAATTTATCATAATTGTCAGTGTTAATTGTTAATCAAAAACATTAAAAATTGATTAATTGTTAATTGTAGATATAGGCGATTAACGATTGATCAATTTAATTGTGGGTTAATTAATTTAATTAAGTTGTTTGTTAATTGTGGTTCTCGCAACTATTGTCAATCTTTAATTGCCAGAACAATTAAATTTTGCCCGACACTGTTATATACAAAGGGCTTCCCCTCGACTATTATGTATGTGGGGACTTCCCGTACTTTTAATATTGCATAGATAGGATATTTTGCTGCTGCTTATTGCTGACATTATTTTGTTTTTAAAAGTAAGTAATACATGTATTGCTATACCGAAGACTTCTAAATGAAGCGTCACCGAAAACCACATCCAAATTGGTTCAGCCATTATGGAGATTAAGCATGTGCAAATGCACCGAAAAATTATAAAAATTTATATTATAAGTTATCTAGCATGTCTTCAGTAAGTATTGACTTTTACTTAAAAATATGAAATGTACAGACTCGGCTTCTTTACGATCTTATTACAATAATAATTATTGTATTATCAGATTATCACGGAGTAGGTACCTATATATGTCGTCGTCGGTGTTAAGGTAAAAGTAATCCTCCCCTATATTGAATAGGCGTATTATTTATTGAAATTTGAGTTGGTACAACATTGACGACAAACTATTATTTCATAAGAAGTAAATATTTGTTGCCACAAATGATTGTCTCGAAAAATAGTATTGTAGTTGTGTTTTTATTATAGGTACTTATACTTTAGCCATTTTAAAAATAAGAATGAGTCTATTGTATATTTTGGAAAGTTTAGCAGATAAGTGGTAAAAAAATAAATTTTAAACGCGTTGATGACGAAATGGGTATCTCCATACTAAGACAACATTCAATACTTTAGGCAAATTATTATCTCCCTCAATTCGATCACTGTGGATGCGAACGGTGCGATTTATTCAAACGTCAAGGCCTCGCCACAAGTGCAATAACCTTAACAAAAAATATAACAGGTGCCATCTGTTGGCCTTCTCAAATATTATTACAATCGCATCGTGGGTTTATGTGGTACCATCTATTGACCACCGATCAGAATCAAAATAAGCGTCCGAATAAGCGGAGTTATGAGTGCGACATTTTCTTGTATGAGATTGAGTATCTGTACTAGTATAGTATTGTATTATCTGTGGCTATACTATATGTATCAAGAAATTTGCTACATTTGTTTCACGTGGCAGACACTCATTGCCTGGTTTTAAAATAGAGCAATCCTTCAACTACGCGTACCAAACTTTATACCACGATTCAATCTCTCTCAATTCACGGTCTCAATTTTCTCAAATTGGTCCTATAGACAAACGAATCCAGGAACTCCTCATCTAGCACAGTACTGACCATTCGGCCGCCGAGGTCGTCCAATTGTACTTTTGTCTCACATGTCTCAAGTGTCGAAAATAAATTCCAATTGTTGTGGTGTAGAGATCAAAATAACTCGAATGGGTAACTTTCATTTCCTTCCTAAGTCGTGAAAAATAAATACATAATGAAGATGTTATTTATGTATTGACGCATTGAATAATGTTTGTTTGCAACCGTTAAAAAGCAATTAGCAATGTTCACATAAAACCATATAGATCTTATATTTCCTGTTTGTCCAAACTTGATTGCAAGTCTTGCGTCACTCTCACGTCGCCTACTTCAGATAGGAGTAGCTTTTAAGACCTATGTATCTAGACTAGACATGTGTGCCGGTCGTATCGTCGAATGTGGCGTCTCATGATTTTTCTGTTTCTGCTTGACTTCTAATTTTCTAGCGTTAATAAAAAATAAACTAGGTACAACATTATTTACTTTATTGAATATCATAATGTTTTTACTACCATAATATTTTAGTATTTTAGTAATATTTTTAGTAGCAGTAGAGGTTCTTGTGAAAGAGTACGTCTAGAGAAGTACTTCCATCTTACCTATTTCCGCCGCCAAGCAGTAATATGAGCATTACTGAGTTCCGGTTTTGAAGGGTATGGGTGCTGGTGAAGGCACATGGGATGTCTCAACTTACGTCTTAGGGTGTCGGGCATAGTGGCAGTGCCCTATTATAAATAAAAAATTATTAATACTTATATAATTTTGTGAAAATACTCACCTTGTTTGTTATTATTATTTATACGAAGATCGAACTAATACAAAGAAAAAATCCTCCGATCTGACTGTACTCGACCCAGCATATGTTGCCACGCCGGGCTCACAGCTCTTACCAACAGAGCTACACTGCCACCCGTTATAGTCGAAATGGCGAGTGTGACATTAAAAAAAAAATCTTATGTATATTGCTATGCTATAAGTGGATAAGGATCGTATTCTCCCAATATTTTTAGTATAATTTTATTTCTTTTTAAAGAAAGAAAATAACATGAGCTTTCAAATAATATTTTTCTAATGCCTTAAAAAAAATTATAACCGTCAATTTGCATAATAACCGCTTAAATATTTTAAGAACCGGCAATCTATCTCACCACCACACTGAGTCCTTAATAAATTAGTCTTTCAACCCTGACGTTGGCGAAATCGTCGCGCAAAACGACGGAGTCATAGATACAAAAGTTGAAGTTGTAGTTGATGAAGTTACCGCAAGAGAAAAGTAGTTTTTTTTTCAATTTCATTTCTTTAAACACTGTTTTCCCGGTTTTGAGTTTTTTTAACATAATAAATATTATCGAGTTCTTAGGTTTTCGCGATTGTTACACATAGGAAATGAAACTAAGTCACGGTTGACTGTCAACCGTGACCATGGGACCTGTAAAGGGCCCGAAACGTCGGTTTGTTTGAAAAAACAAATATACGCGATTTAAATCCGGAAAAATAGTTTCATTTCCTATAATAAATATTTATAATAAATTATATATTAATTACTCAATTTCGCCAAAAATGTCGGTTACGTTAGTTATGATTATGAGGGCAAAACTGTACGTAGTATAACATATACTTACCTACCAGTAATTCTTAGTTTAAGGTCTGTCATTGTGTTGTTGTGTCCTCATCCACCTTTGGCCATAATAACGTGATAATAAAATCATTCAGGTTTATTGATAAATTAGACACAACAACGTAGGTAGTACATTATTCCGGCGATGAACCGTCTAGGAAAAAGCGAATCATAACAATAAACGCTCTTAATTTAAATCTTTTATTAATATAAAGTACGTATAGAGGAACGTAATTCATTATAATAAAACAATTTTCGCCACGCCGACTTTACGCCTATTTACGAAATATCGCCGGGGTTTTGTAAATAAGGACGAAACGCCATTTCGAAAAATTTTTGGGAGGAACATGTTTGTTGGGAGTTCTTCACGACTATTTTGAAATATTTACATAAAGTTCAATTATAAAACTTAAACTTAAATAAAACCAAAACGGAATTTTAAAACAGGATGCAAATATTTTAAAACAGTCGTTAAAACCTGAAACACGCTCTCTTTCTACAAAACACTGACAATATAATCAATTGAGGGCTAATAAAATTACTCCTCTGATCTAGTTAGATGCCCTGTGCAGATCACATCATCGCCGGAATAAAGTACTACCTACATTGTTGCGTCTAATTTATCAATAAACCTGAATGATTTTATTACCACGTTATTACGTCCAAAGGTGGATGAGGACACAACAACACAATGACAGACCTTAAACTAAGAATTACAGGTAGGTAAGTATATGCTATACTACGTACAGTTTTGCCCTCCTAATGATAACTAACGTAACCGACATTTTTGGCGAAATTGAGTAATTAATATATAATTTATTATATATATTTATTATGTTAATAATAATAGAGATCTACAACCCCTTCTAATCGGATTTTTTTAAACCTTATTTAGTGTTGTAATGGAGGGAAGTTTTCTCTACCGTGTGATGAGGTTACGCAGCTCCAGCTAAGTTAAAACTCGAAGTTGTCAGAAAAAAGGTTTATTTCCACCTTGTATGACGCCAATACAATTTCTCCCTACTTGCGGAAGAGCCAGGCAGTTGTTCCCAAAAGGGACTCGACTCCTGGAAACCGTCTCACGGGACGATGACTCACCCTATATGAGCGCGTACGTCAATATCAGAAGGTCCATTTAACAGTTTCCAAGAAGGGACTTTACTCGTGGTTAGCCCTACTGAGCTTTCTCTCCCCTTTAACAAAATTGTGTTACAATACACTTTCGAGGTAAAATCTTAACACCGCGATTCAGAAATAACGCTAAACGGGTCAATGCCATCTAGCGGATTCTGAGTGAACTAAAAGGAAACATTCTGGCTTAAGGCCGTCTAATGTCTAATACATAAAATAGGTTTGTTAGTGTCAGTTTTATTGTTAAGCAAAATATATAATAAATAAAATAAAAAAGAATAAAAATAAAAATACTAAAAATTAAATAATAATAAAATAAATATCAAATAAAAATAAAATAAGAATAAAATAAGAATAAAAAAAATAAAATAAAAATAAAATAAAATAAAAATAGAGTTAAAATAGAGTTAAGATAAAGTTAAGGTAAAGTTAGGATAAAGTTAAGATACACTTGAAATAAAGTTGAATATAAAGTTGAAATAAAGTTAAAATAAAGTTAAAATAAAGTTAAAATAAAGTTAAGATAAAGTTAAGATAAAGTTAAGATAAAGTTAAGATAAAGTTAAAATAAAGTTAAAATAAAGTTGAAATAAAATTAAAATAATTGAATGAATGCATGAATTGAGTTGTTGTTAACAAAGTAATGCTAGTGTCAAGCAAAAGCATAATAAACAAATAAACATATTCTGCAACAAGTTGACGGTTGGTGCAAGTGTCAAGGACGACATCCTCACATGTAGTTCCGTAATGGTTTTACGTCTCAGACTCACAAGATTGCGGAAAAACATTTTAAAAAAAACTAATTTTTTGACGCCTATTCAGTTTTAGCAAATTGATTGACTGGCTGTTTAGCTGTATTAAACAGGATTGTAAATAGCGGACCCTTGTTTTTATGCTTAAGAATTTATACAACCTTAAATGGCTGTGGTTGATTCCGCATAACAGTGAGAGTGTTAAATCAATCACTTATAGTATAAGATATACATTTTTCAATAGCTTTTCGTTTGTAAAAAATAAATTCTGAAATTAAGCCAAGCGAAATGAACCGTATTAGTACGGGAAGAATTTTAATTCGAGCCGAGATAGTATCGACTCTTAAATAGGAGAGTTATAAAATTTTACATAATATACTTAACTTGTTTCATGCAGTTTGTTTTTGTTTTTGTTTTTGTTTTATGACATTCATTTGATAAAGCTATTTTGACGTATCACATGTGGCTTTGCTATACCAAGAGAAGGAAAATATGAATTGTATATAGATTAAATGCGGTTATATTGTGGATTAAATGCGATTTCTTACGTAAATCATTGTTTGTTTCAGGATCGCTTACAATCATACTGTCAGCCTTCGCTCTTTGCATGATCATCTGCAACGTTGATGCTGGAAGTAAGTATCTACATAAGAACCAAGCACTTCTACAAACATTTGGTTCATAACAATAACTAAAATCACCTCATATATATTGTGTCTCTTCTTCTTCTTCCTGTCCTTATCTCACGCTAGGTGGGGTCGGCACAACATGTGTTTTTCTTCCACTCTCCCCCCTATCAGCCGTCATTTCTATACTCACACCTTTCTTATCATATCATCTTTCACACAATCCATCCATCTTTTCTTTGACCTTCTTTGCCCTTAAGTGCCTCAGGAAAGGAAAAGAAGTTTATGCCTTATCCTTTAGTTTATGCCTGTAAAATATAATAACACATCAATCTTACGATTTGGCATAAAAACTTCATTTTGGAGTCTTTTGTGGGTTAAAACACGTTATTGCCTCCATTGAAAAGAAAGAAAAGATAGACAAAATGTTGCATCCTGTATAAACAACTTTTCTTTTCGCAGCAGGTTCTGGAGCGTGCCCGTTACCTTCAAAGGTGTATAGCTGCAGCCCCAAGTGCCAGGAGAACTACGAATGCACCCACGGCAAGGTGTGCTGTCCGAACTCCTGCAACGCTAAGTCCTGCACAGAGTCCGCAGCTTACGGCGGCGCCAGTGGCGGAGACAAGTACTCCCAGTGTAAGTACCGTTTGCCAAAAACGACGCAATGAAACCGGGCACTGTACTTTAGTTAGCTTGGTTAGCTTAGTTTGCAGTGTGAACCGAAGTATGAAATTATGGCCCGACTATGTGAGCTACGCTAAGTTGGGTTAGCTTCGTTTGCGGTATAGCCTGCGCATTACGTTTACTTATTGCAGCGGCTCTAAATCGCGTAAATTTGTTTTTTTCAAACAAACCAACGTTTCTGGCCCCTTAACTGGTGCCATTATTGCTGAGTCAGTTAGCCGTGATCGTGAAGTTGGTTTCTTTGAAAAAACAAACATCCGTGACTTAGATCCGAAAATAATCAGAAAAGTTTCATTGCCAAGGACATATAATTTTTTTGTGACCGAAACAACTTGAATTTTTTCAGTAACGGCAAAAAGTCGATTACTTAAGGATTTAATCAACATAATGGTAAAACAAATACACTTTTAGTGAGACTTTTCGTTGGATGAATGACACATTTGCACAATTCTTAAAATATTTTCGTAATTGCACCTTTTGTTTACATTTTTTATCACAAACTCCACCACAGTCGGGTATTACGAAGGACAGTTTGTTGACAATTAATTTGTCAAATAATTTGTAATTGAGGAACCTAAGATCAACAGCAAATGACTACGAAAACAATTAAAAATTGAATTTCAAAATTGTCAAGCTCTCCAAAAACGGCATTCGACATTTGTCAAAATTTGTGGTAAATAATTATATAATTCTTTCTAAAATTAAACCTTATATTATGATTTAAATTATGCCTCATGCGAACGTAGTTTGATTCTATGTTGAAGAAAGCACAGAAATTAATTTATTTTACTACCACAAATAACGCCATAAAATAAAATAGAAACAAAAAAGAAAAAGCAATAAAAATTGAAATTTTTATAAAAAAAAATAGGCGCGCAGTGTGCATTTGACCTCCATCTAACCTAATGGAAAATGAGATGAGGCAGTAGAGCTCCTTGTGAAAGAGTTCATCCAGGAAGTACTGCCACTTTACCCGTTTCTGCCGCCAAGCAGCATTTTTGAAGGACAAGGTTGCTGGTGAAATTACAAACAGAAAGATAGAGAGACTTGTCGATTATGTCTCAGGGTGGTTGTGGCAGTGGCAGCCCCCTCAGACCTTTGCGATCGAAAACACTGAGTGGCTCTGCCACTGCTATGTCCATTAGCGTGTTCGACCCGTCACTTAGTATAATAACAAAAGCAAGAAGGTGTCCTCTCAAACCATTATTCTCATAAGGACAGATTCTCAATAGGACGGATTCTCAAGAAGACGGATTCTCATGAAGACAGATTCTCAAAAGAACAGCAGTACACGTAAGGAGAAAAAGAGAAAAAAATAGAGATAAAATTATTTTAATAACTTGTCAATTGTCGTCGTCAAAACGTCTTAGTATCGCAAGGCGTTGCAAACACTCAAAGACCGATATTTCACTCCGTACACATTCAGATACAATCTGTTCAATTTTTCTGTCAACTAAAATGTCACTTTTTCTCCTTCTTTTTCCCGCACAATAAAAGGACCCTCTGACAATTTTTATGTCCGACAGTTTTGCTTCCTTCTTCAAAAGCATGATGAAATAAAGCATCGATGGCCTTTTAGGAATTCTAGAATTAATTCTTTTATGCCACCCTTCGATTGCATACAAACATTTTTGTATAGAGTGTTTTCTCCTTTTGTATATCATCGGTGTTTTGGAGAAAGGGCAAAAGCTCCATTTCGAAAAATTTTATCATTATGTACCTAATCAGTGAATACTTTGTTGTTTATAGCGGGCGGAGCGGGCGTGTACTGCGGCAATGTAAAGTGCAGCGCCTTCGAAGTGTGCAAGACCGATCCGGCCACAAAGCGCCCAAAATGTGGCCGCGCGTAAACTTCGTCTTCGAACCAAATACGACAATTATTATCATACACAAATTAGCCACTCAATTTTATTTTAGGAAAAAGTGAACTACTTATTATAAGTACATTTAAGTTTATGCACTTATTTTAACTGAACTAAAATTTAATTTGTTACGTATATTATATCCAATTCCAATTTTAATAAAGTACATTTTTATATTTATTTCACGGATTTTTATTCATAGTTTTAGAAACGGTCCTTCAAAGTATAAAAACTATGGCGTAACGACATAATTAGGGCTAGATTTACAGATAAATATAATAACACTCACACTCAACATAGCCCCGCACTAGGGAAACCCTGTGTCGCGGGTGCCATGGACACACACACACACATAGACAACCACAAATTACACCCAAACTCACGAGAGAAATAAATGTAGGCCATACAAACATTTCTCCCGGCCCGGGAATCGAACCTGGGACCTCTGCGTGGCAGTCCGGCATGGTAACCGTTCGGCCACAGAGGCAGTTACTAAATATGATTGTAGTAAATATGATTGTATACTTTACAGAGGTGGGCGTTTCAACGAAAAGCACTTAAAATAGTTTGCTTTTTAAAATAAGCACTCAAGCACGCTTTTCAATTTAAGCGTAAGCGTTGGTCTATTCTGTATTCAACAATTTAATTTTTTACAATTTGCTTATGTTTCAAGTCCCGCCATCTATGTTTCCTAAGCAAATTAATTCGTCAATGTGAAAGGAAAACGAATTGAAACTTACATAAGATTCCGTTAATTGGGCAACTAGATTCTTAATAGTTAATGACATATTTGATCCACCGAAATCAGGATTTTTTAACAAATGCTTAATTTTTTACAAAATATTATGAAAAATGCAAAAAAACATTTCAATAATCTACATACACATTTACTAATATGAAATTTTGGAAACTACGCGATTACTATCTTTCATTACTTTTTATACATGACGAGATAATTTCACAGTTTCATAAACTTTCCTTCCGCTTTTTCTTCGTATAGCTCTGTCTATATTTTTCTTTAAACCTTTCATATGTTATATAATCGGATCGCTTTTTATCTTTACTTTTCTAGCACGTTCCTTCATCTTCTTGATTTCCGATTTTTGTTTTCTGTTTTCATTTTCAGTGGGAAGCAAGTAGTAATATAAAATAGTGAAAATCAATAATATTAACTAAACATTTATATGAAAAAAATGTATAAAATTCTTGCTTTTCAAAGGAAATATGACTTCGATGGCAGGTTCGTCCGACTTCAATGAAAGCTTTTCTGAAATCAGTGGCATAAAATCCACCGAATCCAAGGCCACGGGATTCAGAAAATGTATTTCTTTTTTATATTACTCGTAAACGATAATACTTGTAAAACCAATAAATTGTTATTATATTTTAGTCGTTACAACACATAATATAAAAAATATTGCATACAACCATAAAAATTTTGTGTTTCACATATCCTTTACACCGAATACAAAACCAACCTGAACCAAATCCACCGAATTACGTATTTACACGCAAAAAGTCCTAAAATCGGCAACAAATCATCCACCTGTTCTTTCCAGCTACAGGGGCGTAATGAACGAATAATATGAACGAATTGTGAAACTTCTAAAATGCTTCACTTCTGATGTGTAGCGTGACTAGTAACTACCACTGAATTCCCGCGTAAGCCTGGGGCAAGCAGCTGTCTTGGTATTGGGATAAAACTATTGTCTGGTTCATTGTGAAATTCAGATTAAAAGTATTGTCATCAAATTTATTATCCGTGAACTAAAGTGTAATATCGATATACGGTTTCAATTTTGAGAAAAATGACACTTTGTGTTGGATTCTGCATTCGGGACACGCCACTGTTGTCAGGTTTTAGACCTTTCGGATTTTTTTCCATTAGGTCCGAAAGGTCTATTGGGAAGATTTTGTGCTCTCCAGTTAGCTTTCAACCTATAATATAGGTACTGTCTTTTTTTGTCGATTTTTGTTTTGATAAATAAGTGGAGTTTAGTGCATGGACACAGAAAATTGCGACTTTGGAGAAATGCCCGAATAATAATTTTATAAATAAAAACTAAAATCGTGTTTTACAAATAAACTTACTTAACTTAAAGCCTTTAGTGGTCTACTCTTACTTTTTGCGATCAACACAGTTTTAACAGTCTCGATCATGGTTTCTTTGTTTACAAATATCACGTCAGTTTTACAACTGAAACTGGATAAGGTCCATAAGAGAGGGTGTCCTTGTGTAATTAAGTAATTCCGACTGAATCAGCGACCAAGGCTTTTCCGTCAACGACTCCCTTACGACCATACTGCAACATAATAATATATCTGCCGTCCACTAACTAAAATGTGGCTAAGCGACAGATGGTCAAATATCCGTTTTAAATAGCAAAAGATAGAGCACAAAACTCTCTTAAAAACTGTTAAAATTTGTTAATGCGTTCGACTTATCGGAACTTACCCTAACGATGGATAGCTGAAATATCATTATACAATTTCACTATTCTAAAACTGGGTTTTTATGATGTCTCAAAAAAATGTTTTGTCACTTAACCGCGAACTCTCTTACATGAACATAAAAAGTTAAAATTTCGTTCCGAGAACTTTTAAGCCTCTCACTCAAGAGAGAGCTCTTGAAAAAAATTTCATTTTGCAGATGTGATCTTATTAAGAGTAGGATATTTTGACAATAAAAATTTTATTTTTGTTATTGTATTAACAGTTATACTTCTTAGTATAATTGTTAATCAAGAAACATTTCAATCTGGCTGGATCCGAACCAGCGCCTTCAGCATACTATAACATGGGACGTAGCTCAGGTAGCGTAGCGAGAGGTACTTTATAAATATAAACGACGATTATATCATAATTATAACTTTACACGTGTATTCAATTTCAAAACTTTGTCCAGAACTCGTAGATGCCTGTTTGACACCAACACTCTATTGTGCTTACAATTCTAAATACAAAACCTAAGGTGCCTGTACTACATCCCTCTTCCTCACCTGTAGGGTGAACATCCCTAGCTAGTGCCCCACCTATGATAGGCAACATACATATGCGATCAGCCTTTACTATAGGCTAGCCACACAATGCTCGGAAGCTATCACTTACTAATAAACAAAACCACCTAGAAGGCTGTGACTTTAATCTGTCAAATACCTATCTAAAAGGACAGACTGTGACCAAATCCTAATCAAACAATCTAAATATATTTATTAGCTATCCTAGCCATTTAGGTATCCTAGCTATAAAACCTTAATTCTTTATTCAAGCTTCCTACCTAACCTAAGTTCTACCAGAATCTTTATAAAATTCCAAACAAATAACAATCCTCATTGTGCACGCTGTTACGACGACATCACAAACTTGAGCACCCATCGGACGTCCACTGGGGAACATCAATATTGACTTCCCAGCTGCCTTAGTCCTCGTCCTTGACGTTGGTGGACGCCTGCACTTTTATTGGCATTCCGCCCACTGTACGCAACGGAAAACTCGGAGTATCATCAATCTGCAAATGTAACCTGCAAAATGCAAAACAACGAGAGATTATTAAAGCCGAAGCACTAGTATCCAGCAACGCCTCGCACCTTACATTATTAACAAAAACAGATATAAAAGGTCAACACTAAAATCAACACTAAAACTATTAATTGTATACAAATTTCCTAAATGTTCAGACGCGCTTTGCTGACATCGACGTTGAGGAGATCCCGACGAAGGTCCACTACTATGTGCCCGTAAATACACTTGACGTGGCGTATCCTGCTGCACGATTCGTGCCCGTGACGCTTGATATTCCGACAGTTTAGACTCGGGTCCAACTATCGGTGTAGAGTCACCCTGTGTTTGCCACCAGTGAGAGTGCTCCTTATGAAAATATACTGGCAATTCAATATTTTGTCGTCTCACACTATAATTATGATTAAATATATCTTCTACTTGCATAATTGTTTTTCTCAATTCATCTTTAGAGACAAACAAATTGCTAGCCAGCATCCATTGGTAACTGGATATCAAAGACTTCAAAAAATGTCTAATAAACTGAACGTCTTGAATCTTTGCTTTCGTCGCTAACTTATGTAAACTATAAAAATAACTCGTCAGTGATTCGTTAGACCCCTGTCGCCTATAATAAAACTCTCGGGCATAGTCTATTTGTTAGGGGAACTCCTCTTTTAGCTTCTGTGCAATTATACCATGTCACGTATGCGGAAAAAATAGTTTTGTACCTACCATTGCAGAGCTGGCCCCTCCAAATACAATGCAATCACATATCTCTTTTGCACTTCCGACCAATTATTTACTACGCTGATCGCCTCAAACTGGTTTAGAAGTTCATCTACATCATTCAACCCCGTGAACTTTTGCGCCGCAATACGATGCATATTCTTTCTTGCTCTTTTCACTTGCACAAGAAATAAAACAATAAAATAACTAATATAAATCAAAATTACGGCCTTATATTGTCTTCTTTCCTTCCTCGGCGGTTAATTATTAATTTTTATGATGAACAATTTTCCACATCGGAATTTTCACGTCATACGATCGTACACTACTTGTAAGGCGGCCTCCACCACTTATAGCATGAGACGTAGCTCAGGTAGCATAGCGAGAGACACTTATACTAATAAACGACGATTATATCATAATTATAACTTTACACGTGTATTCAATTTCAAAGCTTTGTCCAGAACTCCTAGATGTCTGTTTGACATCAACACTCTATTGTTCTTACAATTCTAAACACAAAACCTAAGCTGCCTGTACTACAATACCATGCCTGACGCTCTCCCTACTGAACTATGGAAAGATGCAGCAGACCTTACGAGTATTTCTACGTGCTTGCTACAGATCTTTGTTTTCGGTTTTTAACGACTATTTTGCCGTAGCCATCTGTGAGAAATTTATGAAAGTTTTCTTTACTCAGTCAGGTACCTTTACAGTTACCAGCGGTTGACGAGAGATGTCGCTTTAATAATTGCAATATTAAGTTTTTCGGTCTTTGTATTATATAATTATAACAAACTAGAGGAGTAATTTCATAAAAAACAATAATATTATGGTAGTAAAACATGGTGATTCCACAAACAATATTAAGTACAGTTTCACTGTGCCAGGTCAGACAGTAGGAGTACAAACTTAAGGAGGCATTGTCTATTTATCACGGATTTTAGAAATACAGAAAACCTCCAAATACAATGAGTTCTCAAAGAACTTAATAATAATAATAATAACAACATTAATAAACATGGTGCCTGGATGAGCATTACAATCGCCTAACATGTAAATTGCCTCTATATTGTTATTTTCCGCTATCGCACCTAGTTCGCTCAAACAATTCGTGAACATGGGAAGGTTACTAAGATTTTTGGTAGGCATGTAAACACTGCATATAATAATGTATTTATCATTAAACATAGTTGCCCTAATAGCCGTGAAGCGGTCACTGGTACAGTTTGTTATGGAAGTCGATTAAAAAATGACTAAGTTATGAAAGGACTAAGTTTCATAATTTTTTTTGTAGTAGTACTTAGTAAAAGAGTTCGTTTAATAAATTTAAATGTTTACTTATGTGGGAACTTTTATACTACAACGTTTATGGCAGCTCCATTGTAACCTAAGCTATAGCTTATTTGTCTGGGAGGTGCTACTGGAGGAGCCGATTCCACAAATTGTAGTCTTTTTGCACTTTACGTATGGGGGTTGCCCAGTATACAATTTAAAACACCTACCGGTGTTCGGTTAACCTATAGGTCTTTTGTCAACGCCCTCTGTTTCACACACTCTGACATTCCAGTAGTAAAATGAGCATTATTGCGTTCTGGTTTTTAAAGAAAAAAGGTACTGGTGAAATTACAAGTACATGGGACTTATCAATTAAGAAAGGAAGAAAATAAATTTATTCAGCACAAACACATGTTACAAGTACAATATTATGATTTTATGTTTAACGTGTTATGCACTGAAAAGGGCCCAACTCGGAAAATACTGTGGCGGAGTCACAGCGCTGGTTTTCAGTGAACCCCTTACGAAGTGGCCGATTTAAAAATAACAATTACAAATAAAATTAAAAATTGTGGATGCGCATTAAAATAAGTACAACATGTTAATAACTTAATGAGATTAGAAAAATAAAATTGCCATATGCCTACAGCGTTTTCAATTAGTTCACTCAGTCTTTATGTATTTTATGTTTCTCGGTGCGTTATACAAATAAAATTTCTCCAAGCGTATTTTGCAGTATTAAAATGTGCTCTCTGACTTTATTTTTGAAAGTATAATTACGTATCAGGTTGAATGATGCAGTGGCATTGCCACACTGGTCTTTATAAATAAATAAATAATCAATAAATGTCTGTTTATTGCCTCCAATAGAAACGAAACAAAGTTATAAAAATCTTAAAAAACAACTATACTTAAGATGCTAAGTAAACATTAACAGGAGGCATAAGGAGGTGTCGCAGCTGGTGCTGCTCCTGTTCAGGACAGTCGCAGCGCTGACTTTCAGTCGCTCCCTTCTCCCTTGGATGGAATGCGGGACAGGAGTATCGAGGAAAGTGGTAAAATTTCCATTTTGAAAAAATCACATTTTGCAGAATAATAAGTATTTTCCGGATAGTTTTCCTTAAATTTTTCACATTTGACGTCACCTGTCAAAAGTTGAACATACTAAATAAAAACGATGGAGCCATTAAAAAGGTTTTTTTTCGTTAATGATTCTACATTTATTCTACATGTCGTTTTTCTAAAAGAGGCGTGTAGCTATACAAGTTTATTTCATAATTCACGCCAAATAAAACTTCAAAAGATATTTCTAAACGTAGAACATAATATGAGCCTTCGAAATTATATTTTTTTCAATTTTTCCAATTTTTCGGGAATTTTCCGGAAAAATGTCCACTATTTTAATTTTTTTGTAAAATTACCCAACAGCAATCGAGGTCAGGGCTATAATGTTATATTTGGGATTTAAAGTGTCAATATCATACAAAAAAAAAACACGGAAACCAAACTATATTATAGTACATATTTCAATAAGTATGATCTAAGATTCTGGGATAAGGTCAAAAGTAGACACAGCGGCTAAAAACAGAGAGGACATAATTAACGCAGCAAAAAGACAAGTTCATACTTGATTCACCTACATATATTATAATAAAAAACTACAGCATCTAGACAAGATTAGTATGCAACTGATACATAACAGTCTAAGCAGGTCTGCATAGCGGACTGGCGTCTCGGTCTACGCGCACGCACCTCGCTGCTCAAGGAGTGTCCCATCATTGTTTGAACAGCTGGTTAATCGACCGTGCTTATTGCGCCATCAGTGACATTGATATTTTTCAAGTAAGATTTCAGTGAGTTGTTCTGGCTAAGACAAGTTGGAAAATTTGAAAATATGGGTAAGTTTATCTTATTAAAAACTTTTCGATGAAGTATTTGTGTATAGTCGTCACAATTTAAGATGCCCAATTTGACAACTAAAGAAGACAATAATAAGTAACGTTGAATGCAATCAACGAAACAGTCTATAAACTTTTATTGACTTACTGAGTTTTTAAAAAATACTCTAATTTTAGTGAAGCAGAATTTTAAAATCAAATACAATTTTGAGTTTGTCTGAAACGTCATATAAACAGTTACATCCTCAGTTTTTTTTTTTAAATAATAGTGTTGTTACCAATTAATCGCCGAATTTCACCGAGTAAATTCAATACCACTTAAAAAAATATAGACTTTTTGGTTTTGATCTTGACAGGTACGTTAACAACTAGTAGTACAACTTTTCTAATTAAAAAAACCGACCTCAAAAGATCGTGGAATTACATCTATTTGCCAAGTTTTTTTGAAATCGGCTACCGGAAAGTGCGCGGAATCCGGATTCATCCCCTAGTTTGCTGCCTTTAAAGGTGAAATATTTTTTAATTTAAATGGGACCAATAATAAAGTAAAACCTCCTCTCTCCCTCTCTCTTTAATTATAATTTATAATTTGCAGTGCCTTACACAGGGTCCATAAAGCGATGTTAACTTAGCTACAAGCCTTTTACTATCCCATCTATGTAACATTATGGTAAATACAATAAAGAATTGAATTGAATTGAATAAAAGGAATATATTCACAAATGCTAGAGCAATCGTGTAACATACGCACAAATAAAGTACAGTCGAATTGAATCCTCCTCCTTGAAGTTGGTTGAAAATTTTCTTCATAATACTTAATGATATTAAGGTTAGGACTTCCTAGTAAATATTTTCTAACTGAAGCAGGAAGGCCCGCTTCATTTTTTAATTAGTAACAGAAACAAACATACTAATCATAACTAGCAAAAACTGTAACCAAGTGACTGTTAACTACTCAACATAATACATTTAATAACTAAAATTATAACAATAAAAAAACATAATCGCAACCTAAATTCGTGTATTTTTTAATATTCATAGTAAGCATTAAGATATTCGTAACGTCAATTTCCTACACACTTTAAAAATATGTTAATTTCTATTCTTTTCAGGATCTTTATCGATGTTTCTGTCGCTCGCAGCCGTGTTCATCATAACTACAGACCGAGTTGACGGTGAGTTATATTAATTTATGAGTCTTATCACCTAAAGCGCTAATACTTTTGTTTACCGAGATTGGATTATGTATACACATGACACATGAATATAATGCCGGTTAAACATTAAAATGGATCAAGCGATGTTTAGGATTAAATTAGTTAAACGAACGAACTAAATATAGATATGAATAACGCACACGCTCATATTCTCTTACTATGAAAATCCTGTTTCGTGGGTGCCATCACAACCAAACTCACAAGAGAAATAAATGTAGGCCATACAAATATTTATCCGGCCTGGTAATTAAACCCGAGATCTCTGCATGGTAGGGCCCCGATTCTGCTAAATTCTTGAAACTTGGTCATTGTAATTACTTTGAAATTCCACTGAGATTGCATTGCATTGCAGTTAAAGGCACAATACAAACATTGAAATCGTCTACACTATTAAAAAAAACAATAATTCTAAAATACAGTACAATTTGTTTTAAATGACAACTATTCGAAGATGGATCAACCATCGTAAAGTCCCTATTTATCTTGTAAATGGTTGTAGGCAGTTGACACTTCTTTGCAAAGATTGTCTCGGTGTATTTGAAAAATATAAAAACAAAAATTTTCAAAGCAGGGTCCCAGGTCTGCTAATTTTGTTGAAACCTCTGGTCATTGCAATTCCGTTGAAACTCCACTGAAATGACTTTGCTATTATGATATTATTTGTTATTTTGCTAAAATTTCGTTGCAATGCAGTTGAGTCTGAATAGAGTGTCAGTGGAATGGATTGATGGCATTCATTCATTCATTCATTCATTCATTCAATCGCTAAGGAGCGTTGTTGCTTTACTAAAGCTACCATGGAAATTACTTTTTTTTTATAATATCAAGTGATGGGACGAACAAATTGTGCGCCGGTGATAAGCGACACGCCTGTCCATAACACTTGCCGTGCCATTCAAAACTTTAAATCGCAGAGATCTTATGGGCACTGCCACTGCGCTCGTCACCACGAGACATAAGTTGACACGTCCCATGTGCCTGTAAGCCAGCACCCTTACCCTTCAAAACCGGAACGCAGAAATGCTCACATGCATTGGCGTTAGAAATAGGTAAGGTAGCAGTACTTCCCTGGACGAACTCTTTCACAAGGAGCTCTACTGCTACTAACTGTTCCCTAGATATATCGCACCTTTCTTTTTAATAAGGACACATCTGCAAAATCACAACTTTTCAGGAGACAACGAAATTAATCGGTAACTTTTCTTATACAATTTCGAAGTTAATTTCGTAGCTGCAAGTACTAAATGTAAGTTATGCTATGCAAGTTCTATACAGTGCACTTTACTAGCGAATGTATGTAGATACCTCTATATATAATTATATTAATGAATGTCTTTCGTCATTCTACCGCTCACTTTTAAACACAAGTACGTACGTACACGGCCTACCTCACACGTGAAGGACACGTCATAGAATGTGCCATTAGGGTGGAATTGAAACTGGAGAGAATTCAAATGCGCGGTATCTCTATTGTTCTTTGGACTCATAATTCACTTAAGTTAGAACTTGTGGACTAACTAAATATCTGCATACGCGAGCGTGCTGCTTTCTTTAAAAATAACTATTAGGCTGCTAACCGATTGACTGCAGGCACCTCGACTGCATAAAGTTGATAACGACATTGATTGTTACCATTTCGCTCGCTCAATTTGAACAAGACTTTTACAAAGGAAAAGAGAACTTATCGATCTACCTTAACGTTCCTTTTAAAAGTGTAAAATCTTTTCATTTAAATCTGTATTTGCTTCCAAATATTTTGTCACCTAATTAGATATATCACGCAATCAGGCGAGTTTATTATACAATCTGTTTCTGGAAGGTTTCTAAATCTTTTAGGTCATATGTCACGACTCAAACCTCCGTAATGAGCATTTTAATTTATGCCGATTATCCGAGGATGCGGGTGCTGATATTCGCAACAACCCTGTTCTAAACCTAAAGGGACAATAGCCTAGCGTAAACAAAGCTGTCCCGTGACGATCGCCTAAACAGTAATAACTCTGTGCGGTAACAAAGAAAGAAAGCGCTAACGCAATTACCAGCCCGATGCAAAACGCAAAAGCGGGGTTGGGGGTCGTCGGAGAGGACGATTGCATGTTTCAAACTTAAATTCAAAGTCAAATAATGTTTATTTCGTAGGTAAGCAAATTACACTTGAAATCGTCATATTGATTAAGCTCTACTGCTCATTCGTAAGGCAGATTCACCCGAGAAGAATGAGCAAGAAACTCTAGGGGTTGCTCTTTGTAAATATACATTTGAATACATTTCCCATTTAATTCAAATGTCTTAGATAATACATAGTTGCAAGTGTCTTGTCTTCCAAGTCACTTTGTCATCCAAGTACGCAGAAACTATATAATAATAACCTTTAGAATAAAGTTTTTGTTTCATGATAGTTTTAAAACTCGTGAACGGCAAATTTTGTATATCAACCGGAATCTTGTTATAGACGCGTATATTTTGCCCCTTAAATGAATTTGTGTCTCTGTGAAGACGACTATCAAGAGTTTATGTTTGTTCCTCGTATTAATGTTGTCTGTCACTATTTTTCATAAAGAAATTACTATTCCTCTTAACATAAATTACATTTTCATAAATGTATTTTTGTCATCCAAGTACTCAGAAGCTGTAGAATTTAGAAACATTTAGAATAAAGTTTTTGTTTTATTATAGTTTTGAAGCTCGTAAATGGCAAATTTTGAATATAACCCGGAATCTTATTATAAAAGCGCATACAGGAATTTGTAAATTGTGAAGACTGACTGTCAAGAACTGCTAGTTTATTTATATTCCTCGTATTAATTAATGTTATGTCTGTCATCATTAATTTTACAAATAATTTTAGATGGAACTTTACTACCACATATAAAAAGCGTCAGACAGTACAACAAAAACTTAAAAGTTTATTTTTAGTAAATTTATTTTAAAAAGTCATGGAACACAAGTTGTTGTTTATGATGTCAATTAGGCGAGATTGTTATTTTTTTACAAATAACACTGTAGGTATAGAAGATTGTGTTGTTAATGTTGAGATTTTTTTCAAATTAAATCATTTCTTTAATATATGAATACCTAGAGACTTAAACAATTAGACACCTGTAAAAAATTAAACAGCAATCGCAAAGTAGTGAGTGCTTATAAAATGCAAGCAGATATTATATGCCGGCGCCGCGCATTTTTTTCAAGGTGCCTTATCTCAAGACCGTCTGGTATGTTAAGGACGTTTTTTATTATACTTATTTTCCAAAATATTTTCTCACTATAAATGCGTAAAACGTAAAAAGATTAAGTTTCTTTTAACCGTACGACCATGAACATTTACACCATAATTTATATATTAAAGAATCTTCCAACGCATACACTATCAGCAATGTTCGCTTATTAAATACATTCTTCACCTGATAGAACTTTTCTAAAACGGCCCCAAGGGTTAATACGAATTTCAACACGCAATTTCCTGTTGAAATTCGAATCAACCCATAATCCTAAATACTACATTGCTTGACATACTTCAATGGTTCCCATTTACAACCAGCCTTAACAGCATGCAAGCATTCATAGTTGTGTCCAATAACAGAATGTAAATGCAAACATTTAATTTTTTCTATTCTGTTGTCATGTGCCCATTTTGTGATATTCTCAAAATCATTTTGTATTTTATTACGAGCGTTCGTTTACATTTTTCGCCGAGCATAGTAGGGACTGGTCATCGGCATACATATTCACCTTAAAATGCTGTATTACGTTGACTACACTGTTTACTAGCATTATGTACATAAGTAAGAGTACATAATGACTAATAAACTGGTCCAGTAGGTATCCCTCGCGTGACGTCACATTGTTCGTCTATATAAACTACATTACAAATTTTTTTCCTTGTCATTTTTTTGTGTTAAGTTAATATAAAAAATATGTGTTTTCAATTATTTTTCGTGGTGGATGGCGGTGAGACAAAAAGTTTGTGAATATATGGCCTACATTTATTTCTCTCGTGAGTTTAGGTGTAATTTGTGGTTGCCTATGTGTGTTTCCATAGGGTCTCCCTAGTGCGGGACTAATGAGTGTGAGCGTTATTATTGAGGAGACCGCGGTAACGAATAACTTAAAACAATATAACTTAACGAAAAAAACGAAAGTGGATTTTTAAACAAACTTTCGAGGTTTTTTTTAAATAAAAAATATATATTTAAATTTTTATTGAATTGATATTCAATTATTTTTATGTGAAATTACTCCACTAGTTTGTTATAATTATTAATACAAAGAACGAATACTCAGAAAAAATTCCTTCGATTCGGCCGGATTCGAATCGAGACGACTTCTCGCATACCGTGCCGGACGCTATACCAACTAAGCCACGGAACGAACCAGCGAACTTCACGAATTCTTCTGTGTGCTTGCGTCGTATCTTTGTATTTAGTTTTTCAACGACTTTTTAGCCGTAGCGCCATCTATGAGAAATCTATAATATTTCGTGATATTTGTATATTTATTGATATTTTATGTATATTTATTGTAATGTAAGATTCAATGTATACTAATTGAGATATTTTGTGAAATAACTCCACTAGTTTTGTTACTATTATGAATACAAAGATCGAACACGCAGAAAAATGTCCATGCTGCACCGTAGCGTCGCTCTAACCCTCTGATCACGGGACCAGTTACCGAGACATCGAAATTCTCCTATCTGTTTTTGTTATAGATCTTTATACTGACTTTTCGGTATTCGTCGCGTCTAGTGACATCTAGTCAGAGAGTTTTGAATAACCTTCTCACCGCAGCGTCCTCACCGAGTCGACGAAAATTTTTCTGTGTTCGATTTTTTAATTCATAATCATAAAAAATGTACAATTATGTGAAACGTTGTTGTGAATGATAAACTAATCAACATCGCGTCGAAAAGTGTCATAGTATGAATAACAATGCGCTAGAAAAATGAAGCTCAAAACTGT